GAGAGATGCAAGCTTTTGTCATATCTAGGCAAATGCATTTCAAACAGAAAGGAGAGGAAATAATACGGAACCTGACATGGGAATATGCCTGATACGTTTACATAATAGCAGAAGCCAATGTGGTTAGAATGGTAGAGCATGAGGGGCCAGATATTTATTCTAAGTGTGAGAGGGTTTTAAGCAGTAAAACAACATGAGCTGACTTAGGTTTTAAAAGGATCACACAGACTGCTGAATGGAGACTAGACAGGTTATTCTGGCAGTCTGAAGAGATGGGGATGGCTTGGGCCAGGGAGACAGTGAAGGAGCTGGTGAAAAGCAATCAGGTTGATCTGTATGTTGATAATAGAACAGTTGACAGATTTATACACAGATTAGACAGAGTGAGGAGTAAAGGTAACCCAAGGTTTTGGGATGAACAAACTAATGGAAAAAAGTGCTATATACTGATCTGGGGAAATATGGAGTTGAGGTAGAGAGTTGCAGTTGCAGTCATCTGCTTGGAGATGACATATGAAGTTTTGGTAGTAGATAATATCACATAGAGATGCAGTGTAGAAAGAGAAGTCCAAGGAGTGAACATTGGGGCTTTAGCATTTAAAGGTTGAAAAGAGGAAGAGGATATAGCAAAGCAGACTTCAGGAGTGGCTGCTGATAGAGGAAAACCAAGAGAATATGGTATCTGGGAAAGGAAATAAGATGATACTTCAACAAATGGATATCTTCTTGTTAACTAGACGCTTTAAATTTGAGAATACACAAACATTAAGAGATGTTGAGGAAGTGATTGCTTCATTTTATCCTTTCCAATTCATATTTCTGTAACTTAAAAGAATGTTTAAATCCAAGGAAAAAGTGAAATAAGAAATGTTATAATTTTATCACTATTTGGTAAGTTATTTTTATTGCTAGTAAGTAGTTTAGAGCAAGAACTCATATGTTGATATATATCAATAAATGTGTATATGTGAGTAGTCTAATATTGGCTTAACTTATTGCAGGTCTTTAAATACTGCTTTGTTAAAATTTTAGTAACTGGTAATTTGTCTTTACAATTGGTAAGTTGTATGCAGTTGTCATATTTCTCAGTGTTTTTTGATGCTCTAATATGCATCTGAAATGGCTAACATGAATTGTCTTTTTATATATGTATTATGCATATTAAAATTATAATAGACTAATAAGACAATTTTTGAGACTGTAGGTCCTCTAGTTATTCACTGACACCTAAGAATAAATACATATTTTTCAAAATTGTTTATTTTATAGTATTTTAATATAAAAGAAAAAGTACCAAGAGGTAGTGTATACCCATTACTTATAGATATGTTAAAACCACCATTAAATTATTATACTTTATCATATTTTCACAATAATAAATAATAGCACAGTTACCTAAAATTCAATTTGCCCAAACTCATTACTAGAGGACTTTATTTGTAAGGTTAGTTTCTTCTGGTATGACAGAAAACTCATACGCAGCTTAAACAACATAGAAGTTTTTTTCTTTTACATAAACGTCACACTCCTAGAAGCAGTACTGTGATTTTCATGGATCTAGGGTCCTTCTGTCTTGTTGTTCTGCTATCCTTCACACCCAGCTTCTGCCTCAGGATCTAAGATGGCTGATTCAGTTGAGCCGTTGCTTCTGCATTCCGACAAGCAGGAGAAAAGGTAAAAGAAAGGGGGAAGATGTTCCCTTTTAAGGATACCTTCCAGAAACTTCACTTACCAATTTTGTTTTACATCCTGTTGGCCACATCTTAAACACATCGGCATACTTAACTACAAGAAAGGCTGGGAAATTTACTTTTTTACTCTGGGCAGCCCTGTGTCTGTCCATTTGGGTGTCCTAGTATCGACAGAAACAGGTGTTAGTCTACAACTACCGGTCTGTGCTACAGGCCCTTAGATAATAGGGAGAAATTGGTTTTATAGCAATGTGGCTTTTTTCTATTTTTCTTTTCTATATTAAAGTATAAGTTAGTTATTATGCTACAAATCATTCTGTGAATATTTTTAATGGATGAATTTACCCTACAACCAACCATGCATACTTTTCTCCAGGTTATTTTATTAGCTAGGAAGTCATTATGAGATAGTGACTAAGTATGGAGCTAATCTGCCTGATTCGAATTCTGCCAGTGCCACCTGCCAGTGGGGTAACCTTGGGCAAGCTATTTAACCTCTTATGGCAAAGTTTATCTTAAAGTGGGAAGATAATAGTACCTAACTCACAGGATTATTATGAGGGTTACATAATTGGTTGTAAAGAACTTAGAAAAGCTCCTGGCACATCATAAGCCCTCCAGTATTAGTTATTACTACCAATTGGCAGGTTCTTAATTAAAGTAATTTTAATACTATCCCATGTAAAATACAGCTGTGAAAGTTGACTTGTAAAGATGTATTAGTATTTCACTGTAGTAGAGGAAAAGTAATTGGGTAATTTTAAAACAGTCTAAATTTGCTTATTTCATTTTGGAATATTTCATTAGTTATACTGAGAGATTTTCTTCTTTGGAGAATTGTATTTTAGAACATATTTACAGATGTATATCCATTTGCAAATAGATACCTGTCTTTTGAACTTTCCACATAAGGTGTGCCTTTTAAGTCCATTCAGAGACCAGAAGTCAAAAAACTTAGTAATGAAAATATCTTGTTACCTGTGTCTTAGGACAAATAAAGTGAACAGTGAACCTTTTAGAAGATAATTATGTGGCAGTTGAAAGTTGAGTGTATTTTGAAGTGGAACTAGTCTTAAGGCTTTGCTTAATTTACTTTTCTTGGAAGTCTTACTTGAATCCCTGGGCTTGGTTAAGTACTCCTTTGTGTTTTTTAATATAGCATACTGTACATAACTCTTCACACTTGGCAGAGTTTATTGAAGTTGCATATTTGTGTCTGTCTCTCCTACCACATCATAAGCAGAGACTGTATCTCACTCATATGTGTATCCTCAGCATCCTGCACTATCAGTATTCAAGACTTAATGAACTTGTTACACTGATAAGAGCAATACAGGTTGCCACTTTTGTAGGGATTTTGATTTTCAATCTCAAGGAAGAAATAACAGTGATTTTTTTCATGGCTTTAAGTTGTTCTGTAAATTTGGTCAGCTGCAACAAGATGTTTAGAAATAGCATATTTCCAAAATAAACTATGATCCTTCAGACAAAGTACATGCTGTTGAAATCCAGTTTAAGAAAGCTCTGCTTCCTAATTCTTTCTGTCTTGTGCCTTTTGTGCATACTATTCTATTTCTTACTCCATACTAAAGTATCACAACAGTAAGCTTTTTTAGAGTATGACAGCTTTATTTAAGAGGTCATTTAGTTAACTAATATCATGCTGCATGAAACTTAGGAGTAAATGAGAGGTGGTAAATTGTCCTTTGAAGGACAGAAACATTTACTTTAACTATGTTGAGTCTGAAAACAAAATGTGTAGTTAAATTAGAGCTCAGATGAAGTGTGTGTGTATGTATAAGTGTATATATATATATATATATATATATATATATACACACACACACACACATACATAGCTATCTATTTGAATGTCAAAATTAGCTTATCTTTGCCACTTGGCTCTTGCACTGGAGATAATCAAATTCTTTAGCTTCATAATTAAAAGCCAATAGAAAATATCTGTTTTGCATGGGATATTTTGGAAAGGACGCTTAGTGTATAAAGTACTTGCTAAAGTGGTAAGGGTAGATGCAGTTAATCTCTACTCCTTACTAATCATGTCAAATCCATTCAGATATTTATTGGTCCCCCCCTCTGGTGTCAGTGCATTACATACTATCATATTGTCTTTTTAGAGGGCTGTGCTAAAGGTTGCTGAAATGCAATTTCACAGATATTTAATTTTTAGAAGTTTTCTAAGTGGATTTTAATGTACCTTTCTAATAGACTATCAGAGATTCAGGCATTAGAGGAAAATCCTGTATTTTAATGGACTATGAACAATGATCATTCTCACTATTGGCATTTAATCAAATAAGTGTTATGATGTAAAACTGCTGGATAAACCACAGTTTGTTCATGCATACCTTTTTCCTCTTCCACAGCAGTATGTAGTGCTACTGTCCCTTCTGCATTTTAGTAAATGCAAAACTTCTAATGAAGGATGACTCAGAAGTACTGTGCTCTTCAGCTTTAATATTTTCATTTTTTATATTTTTATGACATTTATAAACTTTGAACAAGTTAAATTTCCAAAATCATTTGTAATAAAGCATTTAAGATGTTTTTTTTTGTTTTGCGGTACATGGGCCTCTCACTGTAGTGGCCTCTTCCGTTGCGGAGCACAGGCTCCGGACGCGCAGGCTCAGCGGCCATGGCTCACGGGCCCAGCCGCTCCGCGGCATGTGGGATCTTCCTGGACCGGGGCACGAACCCGTGTCCCCTGCATCAGCAGGCGGACTCTCAACCACTGCACCACCAGGGAAGCCCTAAGGTGGTTTTATTAAACTTCTTTTTTTAAATGAAACTGATAAAATCATATTGAATTCAATAGCAAGTTGTGATAAGTTTGGGGGGCTTATTTTTTATTATGATATTTTGTTTTTTTATTTAAGAATGTAAGTTTCTTTCCTTCAAATATCATTTTTGGGAAAAGAGATCTTTAGCAAAAATTACAAACAGACTTGAAATTTTTTTTTTAAATTTCACATCCTATATTAAGTTTGAAAGACTAGGATACCTACATCATTTTCACATTAAAAAAAAACCAATTAGGCTTTATTCTATAAGCATTGCTCCCAAATCACATTGTGCTCTTTTATTCTAAGAACTAAAGTTAACTGTTTCTTTTTGTTTTCAATTTTCAAAGACAGTTTTAGTTAATACAATTTGAGCAAAACATTAATTTTTTATTCCTTAAGAACTGTACTGTGCTCAATAAATTTCTCCCCCTTACTCCCCTTCCATTTTTTTGCTTTTCAAACAGTTCCATAATCTTCAAACTTCCCTTTCCTGTCTTTTTTAAAGGTCGATTGAGCTATCCACATCTAGGAACTGACAATCTGTTGATGTTAAATGGTAAGTTTTATAACAACATTTTATGTTTCCAATTGATTTATATAAATAAAGATGAATGAATACATGTTTCTCTAAACCTTCCCCATATACACAAGTTAATCATTTTATAAGTATTCAGTATAAAAATAAAGCTACAACTCTTCCTGTACAGAAAGCAGAATTAGTAGTTTGAGTGTATTCTCACTGGCAAAGCAGTCATTAAAGTGTATTTGTGACAGTATGATTTAATTCAATGATCATGACTTTGGAGACAGTCCTGAGTTTGAATATCGGCTTTCCAGTTTATTGTATTAACTTGGTCAAGTAACTTCCGTGAGCCTTCGTTTCCCATCTGTGAAATGGGAGTAACGGTCTAAAGGTTCATTATGAAATTTAAATGAGATAATGTTTGCAAAGTGCATAGAGCTTGTTACTTATTATAGTACTTGTGTTTATGTTCACCTAAGGAATATACTGGTGATTCTATAATTATGGGAGTCACACCAACTTAATTTATTCTAGCTAGAAAGTTTACACAGTGAACTTTATTCTGGTGGAAAAGAATAAATAAACTTTCATTAAAGTTGTTTTCTTTCTGTGGGGCAAACATTGCATTCAGAGTCACAGTACCTAGCACGTCCATGACTGTGGGAGTAGACATGCAGGATTAAAATATCCTTCACAAAGGTATTTTTAAATCAGAGGGCGGGTCTGAGGAGAGGGAAGTAGGATGAAGAAGGATTGGTAAAGATAGCATAATTAATTACTAGAATGGCTTGGCACTTCTTTTTCAGCTAAAGCTTTGTTGAAAAAACATGGCAATGAAATTGAAAAACAAAGGCTGAAAAAACAGCCAGTGTAAAGCTAGACCATGTGAACTCTAGTGTTAAGTAAAAACTAATATTAAGTAAAGATGAAAAGATAGGAATAAAGTCTAGGCTACCTAGGAGATTGTCAGGGTAGATAGGATTTTGGAATGAGAGAAAAATTGAAGACGCAAAGCATTAAGTGAGGTGCTAAATTGTTTCATTCAGCATTTGACCCTTCTGTATTGTCACCCACCACATGCCAGCCTAGTCTAAGCACTGGATTAACTATTAGTAAGGATCTTCAAAGATGGTTAGATGTAGAATTGTCAAGGTATTAACAATGGGGCCAGACTGCACTCTAGGCTGAGGCAGTGTTCAGGCTAGACCTTACAGTGGTCTAGTAGTCCACATTTATGAAGTTTGGGAATTTTGGTGTTTCCATAGACTTTGACCAGAAAGGCACTAGAAATTACATTCCAGGACTTCTTTTTTCTACCAATTAAAAAAATATATCATTTAAGTAGCTGGTCTCTGAACTCTAAATCTGTGACTAAAAATTAGACTGTAGAAATTGAGTTTACAAAACAGAAAATAGGTCATAATCTTTATTACTCTCAGGGCTTGATTTATAAAATAATGATAGCTTTAGGTAATGATAAATTTTTAATATATTGATCCTGAGTTCCTTAAATTCTTTTCTTTTGGAACAGTCTATATGGTAAATAAAGATCATTCACATTTCTATTTTAACTTCTAAAAAAAGCAATTTAGTTGAAAAATTTGAATTTGCATATGTTTCACGTATTCTGTTAAAATCCATCTGAAGGAAAGTACTGTATGAGATAATTTGTTAGATCATTCACAGATGTTCTTAGACTGCTGAATACATAGTTAAACTAGGATGATTCAGAAGTATATCGTAATCACAGTAGAATGTGTTGGTTCTGTGTGAGCAGAGCTTTGTAGCCACACTATTTTTACAGCTTATACTTTTTGGTTGCACTGATTGTTAAACTAAATGACTTTATCAGTTGTCTAAAGCCTTTATAAATAATCTAGATGTTACGTTGAAAGTGTTTCATAACATAGTAGACAAAAGCATATTTTATTAAATATATATTTTCAAAGTCATATTTTCAAAATGACTTTGAAAGAGTAAAAATCATGTCCTGTGAATAGATGAAGAAATTGGATCTGTTTGGAGAATATAAAATTAAGGCAGGCAAGAGTTGCATCTGTGGACAAATCTGTTTTTTCATTATGTGAGCATTTTTCACAGAATGCCATTTTAGGGCTATAGTACATACTCAGTACAGTAAAAGCCATCCTGGAAATTCTGAACTTCTTCTGGCAAGGGACTAGGGGAGAAAAATTGTAATGAAACTAGGACATCAAAGTGTTTCGGCCAGTAGAAACAATTTGATCCAAAGAGAAAAAAAACCACTCACTTGGGATCATTGGTTAAGAGGGAGAGAAAGAGCGGAAATTGGGTATATTTATAGGGTAAGAAAGTATTTGAATATTAAGGATTTAGATAATTTTTGTAGACATCAAGGTTATTGAAGAAAGAAGTGAGAATTAAATGATGTTAATACCAAACCTCTGCCTATACTAAATTATTATTAAATATTATTGACTGATTAAAGAAATTATAGCATCTCGGCACATAGACCTGCTTTTTAAGTTGTTGCTCTTTTCAGTTTGTTACAGATTTCACTCACTATTAGGCAATTGATTAAGTAAGTTGTATTACTTAACCAACAAGCATAGCTAATATTATGGACTTTGAAAATCAATATTGGTAATAAATTATACATCAGTATTTCTTTTGTGTGGTGGTTTAGCAGTAGTTCATAGTGGCTAGCATCACAGACTCTGGAGCCAGACTATCTGGGTTTACACCCAAGTTTGCTATTTCTAGCTGTGTGACCTTGGGCAGCTTCCCTTTGACTCAAGAGTCCTCATGTGTAAAAGAGAGGCAGCATGCTGCCTGCCTCAGGGGGATCGTGTGAGAAGTGAGTGAATTCATTCATGTACCATATTTAGAACAGTTACTGAAAGTCAAAGTTTGTTGTGGCAATGGGTGATGAACAGTGACAAAAATGACTCTGAAAGAGTAAAAGTCATGTCTTGTGAATAGATGGAGTTGGATCTGTTTGGAGAATATAAAATTAAGAGAAGACAAAACTGATATTTTCAACTGAAGAATGTTATGTGTAGTGGACAAAGAAGGCTTGTTTTATGTTATTTCAAAAAGCCACACTAGAACCATTTGGAAGAAGCTATTTAGGGACAAAATTTGAGTCAATAAAAGTAAAATGACTTCTCAAGCAGTGTTTTCTAAAGTGTGGTACACTTGCCCCTTGTGGTACCTAAGATGATTTTTGATGGTGCACAAATACACATTAAAATAAACACATGACTATTACAGCTTAAGAATGTTCCTTAGAAAATACAGAACTGGCAGAAATCTGTGATGTTACAGTGGTGCTAGGCTTCATTGAGTCCATTAAAAACTAATACATAAATATGAGTATAGTTGTTATGAAGATAAGGCAAACATTGTAAAGATTTTGTGATTCTACCTTTCTAATCAATTAGCATTATGGCTAAACATGTAAATACTCCTATAAGGGATAAACAGGGACTGGAATAAAGGTCAGGAAGTTGGTCAAAATAGGTAAATCTATGAACTACCCCGGACATCCTTTAACTCTGAGCCTCTGTTTACTCAGATATAGAAAAAGTTATAATCCCACACCTGTATGTCTCATGAAATTGTTATATTAGATTTTTTTTTAATCTTAACAATAAAAAATGCCATAGAAATGTAACTGCAAATAGGCTCCTACTTCTGAACAGACCATGTTCCTCAGTTCAATTAGAAATCCAGCTAAATTGACTAGTGGACACTGCCACTATTGAATAATTCAAATTTTGTAGAAGAGTCCAAATTTAACATCCAGAAGTACTTTAGGGAAGTCACATTATATAGGAATGGGTAGATTGTCTAAAAACCAAAGGTTTTACTCTCTGATGTTAGAATGACGGCTTTAATGTTTCTAAGTATATAAATCTTATACTTTTAATTATCAATAGTAAAAAAACAAAGTACAAACTTTTGAAAAACACCCTGTTTTCCATAGAAGTAAGGAGCAATACAAAATGATGTATTTGAGTATTTGTTTCTATTACTGTAGGAATTACTGTACTCCCTTCACATGTCTCCCAAGGAAAATAGCTTACATTTTTATTAGTACATATGATTTTTCAAAAGGAGAACAGATAGAGCAGAAGTATGGGGAAGGGGTGGCATTAGCAAGCTGGTTTGAAATTCAAATTTGTCGTGATTAGCCACATACAGCCATGTTTGTAATCAAGAGCTTGCTTTACTTTGGGAGGAAGTTATGTGTATCTTTTAATTAAGAAAATTTACTCAGTAATGAAATTGTTTTAAGTGTATTAAGTTATGAAAATAGGAAACTTGAGTATGCAATCAGTTCTTTTTTTTATGCTGATGGAAGTAAAGTAGATAGCAGCAGATTTATTTTGGATCTTGAAAAAGATTATGATTTGGGAGGGATATTTCTCTCCCTGGTTTTGGCTTTTTTAGAGCAAAAAATAAGAATGTCACTAGTTTCACACCAAGAGAACTTTAACCTTTAAATATTTCCAGCTGATTTGGTATGTTTACCTATCCCTTCCTCCAGCTGCAGTAATTCAGGTACCACAAACTATAGCTAAGAGTCAATATATAAGGGCACAAAGGTCCTAAGGAGAATGTTAGAATTATCCTGTTTCTTTTTTAGTAGATATGGGTTAGAATCTAAATAAGATCATTGGTAATCCAGGACCAAAATGTAAAGTCCGTTGTATAAGAAAGGTCTTCAGGCTTTTCTCACATCGTTCTTATTACCTTCATTTAAAACAAAGAAATGTGTGTGTGTGTGTGTGTGTGTGTGTGTAATATATATTTTAACACACATGCATAATATATATATATACACATGTATGTTAAATAGCCAATTCCTCACTTTTTCTAAGGCTTCATAAATTTATGTAACTGAAATTTAATATTATAAATACAGTGTTTTATACAACAAATTATTTGCTTTTTTTCTAAATCATATTCTAAATGAGTTTGGGAGGAACATATTGTTTTAAAAAGTCTCTTTTAATTAAAACATAATGAATACTAGACATTTAATGATTTTTCTTTCTCACTGAGGATTTCTGATAATTCTGATTCAGTTGCAGTGGGACATATCCCTGAAATTCACATAGAAATATTGGTAGAAAAAGTGAGTACACATACCACTGCTTAGCATGGTGGTAGCAGATTGGTTATTTCCGTGACAGGGAAGAGGAAACGTTTCACATGGTTTAGCTTCATCTGCAGTCAGTTCTATTTTTGGTAATGTAAAGACTTGGAATCTGAGAGTTGTCCAAAAAATAAGTGCAATAGCTCTTTACAGGATTCTAAAATTCCTCAGGTATGAGATAGTTGGAGAAATTTTCTAAATAATGTGTTCAAGCCTAGGACTGAGATGAAACCTAAGATGTTGTGAGTGTTTGTGCATATTTTCACTTTTAATATTGAGTAGCCTCAGCTAAGAAGCATAAACTGGTTATGATGTCGTTAATTTTCTCAATAGATCATGAATTATGTTACACATTATTATTTCATCATAATTCATAATTTGACTTTAAATTTGATTAAAACAGTTTCATTTGCTTTATAAATGTTTGACCCTCTACAGCTATGAATGAAATTCCCCAAAGCAAATTTATATTGGATTAATGCCATTAGACCAGGCCTAAGGATAAGCAGGAAGCCCAGCTCCTAAGACATGCTGTGAAGTGTTTTGGGGCTTATTGGCCATTTCCATGCTTAATACAACTAGTAAGACTTCAGGGAATTCATTCTTCTATAGCCTGTTCTTGATAGCTCCTTTTATAATTCCTATTGTCTGATTTTCCATAGTTGACTTCCATCTCTTTGAAACCCTGTTTTCCTTAAGGCCTATATAAGTTTTAGAAGACCTACACAACAAAATTCTAAATGCTAGTTCCACCCCTACCCTCATCCTAAACTAATATATAGGTCAGGTAAGCTATATATAATCTAGATATGTACAGATTATATATACCAAAACACACACAGAGGTAAGCTATGTATAAACTAGTATACAAGTCAGGTAAATCTGCCAGGCTTTGAGGTAACTGGACGTCATGGACAGGTTTCAGTCTGCAGCAGATTATGTAATTAAAGACAGTAGAATGGCAGGGTTACTTTATATAAAAGACTAATATTTATTGACTTATTTCTTAAAGTGTAAACGATTAAGAGTTTTCAAGTTTGATTGTCCTCCTTTTTATTATAGGGAAACTACTGCTGTATCCTCACCTTGTAGGCACACTTCTTTATATTAAAGCCTTATTAGTATAAATTTTTTTTTAATTTTGTAAAATCTCTATAATAGAATGTATTTAATGAGATGAAATGTTTTCCTTTGATCTTTAAGTTTTATACCTTTGGAGAAACTACATTTCTGACAACTTTTAATACATATTTTGATTTGAAATTTTTCAATATCACATTTTTCCCAGGCCTAAAAATATCCATGAACATAAATTAAGATCTTGATTTTGACAGTCGTTTTTGTTTTTTTTTGTTTTTTTTTTTTTTTTTTTGCGGTACGCGGGCCTCTCACTGTTGTGGCCTCTCCCGTTGCGGAGCACAGGCTCCCGACGCGCAGGCTCAGCGGCCACGGGTCATGAGCCCAGCCGCTCTGCGGCATGTGGGATCTTCCCAGACCGGGGCACGAACCTGTGTCCCCTGCATCAGCAGGCGGACTCTCAACCACTGCGCCACCAGGGAAGCCCGACAGTCGTTTTTGGTTTACTGTTAATTCCAGAGTGGAAATACTCATTGTATACTCAGATTTGGGGGGATGAGTTATTTAAAAACAAGTTGCAAATTTTATCAAGCTGGTACTTTCTTATGAAAAATAAGTTGCTGTATTTTTTATCCGTGAGGAATTATGTAAACTGCTAATAACATAGGTTGAAATGCTTTCTGCTTTATAGTTTTACAATATTTAATACATGTACTATTCTTCGATGATACTAATAATAATTTGTATCTAAATCCCTCTTACTCCAGATGTAGAGACATAAGCGCTTAGTTAACTGTTATAAATTGTACCAAAAAGATTGAAAGCATTATTAGCTATAGTATATCATTAATCATTTTCAGCTAAGCAAGTTTGAACATGGATTTATTTCTTTACATTTTATCTAAACTCTACAGGCTTCAGAGAATGAATTTAATGTTGTTATATATTTTCATTCTTCTGTGTCTTCCATTTACTTTTTCCATGCAGGGCTTGGTATAAAGTGATTTAGATCTGAATTACTAGTTGGACAGTATATGCTATATCACTCTTTATAATAAGTGGAAAAACAAGGATTTAATTCAGGTTATTTCCATTTGTTGGGAAAATTATTTGGGATGCTATTTAACCATAAAGTGTTACATATTCCTATCCTGATTAGATGAAACAAATACTTATTCATGAATTTTAACACAAATGAGAATAAATTATATTTTTCCTGTTAACTTCACAGTTTTTATACAGTTCAGATGATACATATATGAGTGCATTGTAAATATTAAAACACCATGCTGATGTTATGTGACGACATTGTGGTAGCTCTTAAGACAAAGTAGCACTAATTTCCAGATGCCCACATAGCTTTTGTATATGTGGGCTTATTTTTAGTTCTAACATTTTACAATTTGTCCTTTGTTTACATGCAGCAAGGAGTTATGGGCGAAGACGAGGTAATTCATTTCTGTTTGCTATAGTATAACTCTTTCTAATTGGGTTTTACTGATCAATGTTATAATTAATTATCCCAGATTTATTATGCAATGTCTGGAAACTCACAGAAAAAATTGTATTTTGATTTGAGCACTTACTTGTCAAAGTTTTGAATCCTAAATATCTTAACCTTTAGAGTACATTTTCGTACTAATATGGTTATTTAATAAACTTTTCCATTTTAAGCTGTCCAGATTTTAACTGTTTTTAAAGTTATTTGTGTATCTTTTAAAATAAACCTGCTGTTTATAGTTTTTTTAAGAGATTTGTTTAATAAATAGTAGTGAAGGTGACATGCTCTCTCAATCTGTAACTGATTGTCTTATCTATGATATGTAATTTACAACTCTAGTTTATTAGTTTTATGTTTGACCCAGTTGAAAATGACAAATACCAAACAGATTACTGTTAACACTGATATATAGAAATCATGTTGCTAATATTTCTCTGTGTCTTCTAAGAATATAATAGTTTCTCTCTCCCTGTCTCTAACACCATACACACACACACACATTCTTTTTCTCTCCCACAAAAGTCTTCCCCTCTGGGTTCTTGTTATTTTAAGGAAAAGGCCAGGACTATATGATACTGTACTATTCAGCTTCGTAGGAAAGCAGCTGACATTTTCCGTGGCTTAAACTTTGCTTTTCTTTTTCATGTGCAGAAATTGATGGGGAGAAAGGTAGATGTGATGATGGGAGAGATGAAGCAAAAGTAACTTTACACAAAAAAAATAATAATTGTAGACTGAGACTATAATATCAAGAAAAAGCAAAAATTTCTCCTTTTAGATAGGAACTTGCTACTACTCATATATATTTCTGTCCTCTGGGAGCCATAAAGATTTCCTCTACATCAGAACTTCCTCCCAGCATTGGAAGAAAGATCTCACATGGTTTTTTTGTTTGTTTGTTTGTTTGTTTGTTTTTTGTGGTCCGCGGACCTCACTGTTGTGGCCTCTCCCGTTGAGGAGCACAGGCTCCGGACGCGCAGACTCAGAGGCCATGGCTCACGGGCCCAGTCACTCCGCGGCATGTGGGATCTTCCCAGACTGGGGCACGAACCCGTGTCCCCTGCATCAGCAGGTGGACTCTCAACCACTGCGCCACCAGCGAAGCCCCTCACATTGTTTTAAGGCTTTTGGTAGAAGCCTTCTGTAGGACAGAACTGACAGTTGCCACATTTATATGGCTTAGTTTGGGGGGGTAACACCTGAATTTTCCTCTCAAATTACATGGCATTAGTAATTATTTTAGTTGGTCCTCTGTGAATATAGGAGTCTGCTTTTACAATTTTGGATTTGATGGTCAGATGAAATATCCCATGATAAATCATAATATAAAAATATATATATAATATATTATATATATATATTATATATAACAGTACTTTGCTGTACAGCAGAAATTAACATTGTAAATCAGCTATACTTCAATAAAATTTTTTTAAAAGTTTATCCATTAGAAATAACTATTGAGAGATTTTGAGTTTGAAAGTACTTCAACACAGTAAGTAATAAAACATTAAATAAAAAAAAAAAAAGCCGCATACCAAAGGAATGACTCAGAAAGAACTAGAAGTAGCCTGGCTCTCTTCCTATTTTCTACTCATTTTTTCCTCTTCCTATGCTAGATGTTATATCAGTATCACATCAATAACCTTTTAACTACCAAGGACCCCTTTTATGGGTTTCATGTTTTAGATTTGGTCCATCAAAGGAAGTACATTTATTCGTTTATTTAGTCATTTTTCTTTTCTAAAAAGAAATCTCATACACATCAGATCTGTTGATGTGGGATGTGTCACACTGAGTTGATATAATTTTTGCCAAAAAATAAGACATTGTTCTTTACCAGTGCATCGGTGGGTGGACAGTATTATTTTCTCAAGGCATGTTGACTTTATAATCTGGTTTAGGAAGAACTATTTTTTCTTCTTTTGTCACCTTTGACTCACCTTTAAGCTCAGGCACGGAGTAGCTGTTTTCATTTAAAAGATTTCCCACTTGACTGCAGTAAAACCAAATTACTACCAAAATGAATTTATATATTTTAATATCTTTAATAATGTCAACATAAGAACTTTAAATCAAACTGGGTACAGATATTAATATATGAAATATACCTTAGGAATAATCAAAATTTAATTATACTGAAAGTAAGAAAAAGCAAAGGTTTTTTTCCCTCCTTTTCATTTGTGTCCTGCCCCAACTCCTATGTATTTCTGTACTGTGGGAGCCATAAAGAGTTCTACTTCAGTGCTGCCTGGGGGCCAGGGTTAGAAAGGAGAAGGACTCTCACATCGATCTTTTGTATTTATTGTCTGCTCAATGTTTATTCCATTCTGAGAGTGAACATACTCGTCTGAGCTTGGAGTAGGGTGGTAGGTTGTGAAGGGAGGTGTGAAATGTAACTTAAACTCTATCTCTCAACCTAAAATATTTCTATTATTGCAATCTTCCCTTTAATAAAGGAGTAAAGGGCTGCTCTACTCCAGAAGGAGTAAAAATATATAGAATATTTTTAAAAATAATAGAAATAAAGAACCTACAATATTTTAGTTAGTGGTACTAAACACCACAAAGCAGTCTTTTCTAGCAGACAAGCAAAGCTTTAGTTAGTAGATTTTAGTAGATTATATATGGAATGAGAAGATAAGAGAAATACTTTTTAAAGAGAATGAAAATATGGAGGTTTAATTAGAGAGCTTGGATTTATTCATACTGTGTATGTAGCCATTCATATTCATGTGCTATAATGAATAAGGAATTATTAATAATACATTATACTTAAAATATTGCTTAAAAATTGACCTGGGATATTCTATGATTAGATTTAATTTGAACTCATTTGACTCTTTTTTAACAGTCTTGTGAAGTAGCCAGAGTAAGTGTATACTCCCTAATATCACCACTACCAAACCCTTTTATGATGACATCAAGGCTGAAAATTTTCATCTTTGATAAATACTTTTTTTCACATTTTTTATTGAATTATAATTTGCATACAATATTATACTAGTTTCAGATGTACAACATAGTAATTCAGTATTTGTGTGCATTACAAAATGATCACCATGATAAGTCTAGTAACCATCTGTCACCATACAAAGTTATTACAGTATTATTGACTTTATTCTCTATGCTGTACATTACATCTCTGTGACTTACTTGTTTTACAACTGAAAGTTTATACCTCTTAATCCCTTTTACAACTATTTCTATTTCGTTTATTCCCCTACCTTTCTCCCCTCTGGAAACCTCCAGTTTATTCTCTGTATCTATGAATCTGGTTCTGTTTTGTTCTGTTTATTCATTTGTGTTGTTTTTTAGATTACACATATAAGTGAAGTCATACAGTATCTATCTTTGACTTATTTCATTTGACATAATACCTTCTACGTCATTCATGTTATTGCAAATTGCAAGATTTCATTCTTTTTTTTTTTCGGCTGAGTAATATTCCATGGCATATATATACCACATCTTCTTTATCCATTCATCTATTGATGGACACTTAGGTTGCTTTCATATCTTGTCTGTTGTAAATAATGCTGCAGTAAACATAGGAGTATATATATCTTTTCGAATTAGTGTTTTCATTTTCTTCAGATAGTACCCAGAAGTATTATTGCTAGATTGTATGGCAGCTCTATTTTTAATTTTTTGAGCAAAATCTCTGTACTGTTTTCCATAGTGCCTGCCTAAGTTTTTGTTCCCACCAACATTGCATGAGTGTTGCCTTTTCTCCACATCCACGCCAGCACTTGTTGTTTCTTGTCTTTTTTGATAACAGCCATTCTGACAGGTGTGAGTTGGTATCTCATTGTGGTTTTGATTTGCATTTCCCTGATGATTAGTGATGCCAAGTAGATTTTTGTGTATCTGTTAACCATCTTTATATCTTCTTTGGAAAAATATCTATTCAAGTCCTCTGCTTATTTTTGTTGTTGTTGTTGTTGTTGTTGATAATTGAGTTGAATGAGTTCTTTATATATTTTGGATATCAACCCCTTATTGAATATATCATTTACAAATACGTCTCCCATTTAGTTGATTGCCTTTTCATTTTGTTGATGATTTTCTTCACTGTGCAAAGCTTTTTACAGTTTGTTGTAGTCCCATTTGTTTATTTTTGCTTTTGTTATCCTTGCCTGAGGAGACATATTCAAAAAAAGTATTGCTAAGACCAGTGTCAAAGAGCTTACTGCCTATGTTTTCTTCTAGGAGTTTTAGGTCTTACATTTAAATCTTTAATCCATTTTGAGTTTATTTTTGTATATGGTGTGAGAAAGTAGTTCAGTTTCATTCTTTTGCATGTAGCTGTTCAGTTTTCCCAGCACCATTTATTGAAGGAACTATCTTTTCCCATTGTATATTCTTGCCTTCTTTGTCATATAGATTAATTGACCATATAAGCGAGGATTTATTTCTGGTCTCTGTTCTGTTCCATTGATCTATGTGTCTTTTTCTATGTCACTACCATACTGTTTTGATTACTCTAGCTTTTTAGTATAGCTTAAAATTAGGGAGCCTGATACCTCCAGCTTTGTTCTTCTGTCTCAAGATTACTTTGGCTATTCAAGTTTTTTTTTTTTTATGGTTCTACACAAATTTTAGGATTATTTGTTCTAGTTGTGTGAAAAATGCCATTGGTATCTTAAGAGAGATTGCATTGAATCTGTAGATTGCTTTGAGTAGTATGGAAATTTTAACAATATTAATTCTTCTATGAACACAGTATATTTTTCCACTTATTTGTGTCATCTGCAATTTCTTTCATCAGTGCCTTATAGTTTTTAGAATATAGGTCTTTCACCTCCTTACTTAAGTTTATTCCTAGGTATTTTATTCTTTTTGATGTGATTGTAGGTGGGATCATCTTCTTGCTTTCCCTTTTCTGATAGTTTATTAGTGTGTAGAAATGCAACAGATTTCTGTATGTTAATTATTCTGATAACTGTCAGAGAATGGATGAAATCTTCAAAGCATGACCAAAAAGAAGCCAGGGTAATACTATAAGACAGGGTCAGCAAACTATAACCCACAAGCCAAGGCTTCTGGTTTTTTAAACAAAGTTTTATTACAACACAGTCATGCCCATTCAGTTACTTTTTGTCTGGTTGCTTTGTAGCTACAGTGATGACAGTTGAGTAGTTGCAACAGAGAAATGTATGGCCTACAAAGTCTAAAATATTTACTATCTGGCCCTTTACCAAAAAAAAATTGCTAGTCCCTCCTCCTCGAAGAGACTGACTTACCTACTCTACACTTATACCCAGACATAGCAATTTTTAAAAGAAACAAAATTTTAATGAACTTAATTTAAACTTAAAGTAAATGTATTATGTCTAGACATTAATTTACAAAGACATACAGGGTACTAGGTTTTAATTGGTTATTTAAATTAAATATCTTATTCATTCTCTGTGAGAAAAGGACAGACCTATTATTGGGGCAAAATGCTTTTAAGTAATAAATGTACCTTATAGCTCCTGTCTCAGTTCTTTGGAGAAACATGTGTGATAGTGATTCTATCTGATTAAACAGATGGTGCCTGAGAGACATCAGTCCTGGACCTACTTCTGTTGTTTCGATAGTTTTTTTAATCCTTGCATATGAAATAAAAATCATACCATCACACTGGTGGGTTATTTAACCCAGTAGAGTGGCTGCTAGGATCTTGAGCATGGGAGGAATATTCATTCTTAATAATAATAGTTTGTTTTGTGTTTGCTTTTATTTTTAAAACAACAATCAGTACATAAAAGTATAGATATACATTAATATCAAAGAACCATGCTCAGCTTTAAGCTATAAATTGACTAATTTTGTGCAAATGTTTTCTTTTCCTCTCCTGGTAATTTTAGTTTTCTTTTTTATTCATGAACTTGATGAACTTTACTGAGAAGTATATCAATTTTTTAAGTTTTCAAAGAGCCAACTTTTGCCTTTATTGACTTTTTTTAACGTTAGTTTGTTTTCTGTGTCATTGATTTTACTTTTTTCATTTCCTTGATGCTACTCTTTTTGTATTTAATTTATTCTTTTTGTGGCAGAAACTAGGATTATTTATTTTAAGCATTTCTTATTTTCTAATATGTATTTATAACTATAAAATTCCCTGTAAGTATGAAAATTTTCCTCTAAGTAAGTAGCTCTTGCTACATCCCACAGATTTTATATTGTGATTTCATTATCAGTCAATTTCATTCTTTTGAGTTGTAAAACCTGAAAATATATCCTAGTTTCAGAGCAAAAAAGGAGAAAGGTAATTTAATTTTGGTTGAAAACCGTTGTAAATATTTTAGTCTAAATCAGTTTATGATCAAACTCTACTTTTCTCAACACATATAATTTTACCTTTACTGCCAAGTCATTTTCGTGGATCATTCTTAGAAAGTATGTTTAAAGTACATGGAAAACATAATTATTAACTGGTTCTCCTTTTATTGTCATGTTGATTTGGGTTATAGGGAAGGATAATTGGAAAGGTAAAAAATAGTATTTTTGTTGGTGATATATATTTAGTTAACTCCTCTTTTAAACGGGTATTTAACTCTATAACTTTTATGGCTTCTAGAAAGAAAGTGGTCATGATTTTCCGACAATGAAGATTCTTGTTAGTATGTGACATATTCCTAGCCTTTCCATTACATCCTTCGTTCAACTGAACTTTGGTTAATAGATTTTAGACATATAGATTATAGATTTTGATAGTTATTTTACTAACTGTAGTATTTATTATAATTAGAAATATAGAATAATTCATTAATATATAATGAATATTCTTACAATATTATAGTTAAGAAAAAATTTTAAGTCATTTTGGGTCACTTGTGTGACATTGCTTATGTAGTGATTTTCTTTGTCACTGCATTCGATATTTATACTTAAGTATTGCCATGTCTGAAATAAGTATGAAATTTGGATTTGCCATTTTAATCAAAAACTAGTTAATGTGCATGTTGTTTCTCTACCTCATCTAATTCCTTTTAAAATATACAATTATTTACTTAAAGTCCAACCATAGAAAGTTGAACCAGTTATTCATAATTAATATTACTTTTGATGGCTCTTGATGAGGTTCATTTTAAGGAAAATAGTTTCATGTTGAAGAGCTTTCTTTCCATTGATCACAAAGAATATTGATGTTTTTTTCTCATTGGTCCTTATTCCTGATAGCAAAGGTATTGGGAAAACTAAATATCCAGAGTTACTCAGTGAACGTGGGTATCTTTCAGAACATCTTACTTAAACTGAATTTGAATCTGCAGAATAATTTCTGTTTCCTATACCAAATATGATCTTTCTCCCTGATTTTGGTCTTATAAAATTAAAATTCTTATTTCTAACATCTAGCTAGCTATAGTTCACAGACATGTAGCCCCTTCCTTCTCACCTCAACCCCAATTGTATGCAGGCCACAGAGTCTAGCATTAGGATTGCTGCAGAGGATTATACAGGCTGTGCCCATATGAGGGTTGCCTCAGATGGGGACTGAAGTCCTAGAGGGGGTGCCTTTTTCTGTTTTGCATATGTGCAGAAGCACATATTTACACATATGTGTGTAAATATGTGCATATTTACACATGCAGTAAATTAATTCAAGGTCTTATATGCAAGTATTACTCGGTGCTTTTGTCCTTACTTACTGTAGTCTGCAAGTGGTTTTTTATTGTCTTCTTATCTGTTTAGTCTGTGCCATTTCTTTCTGCCACCAGTTTCTAAAAGGTTTCTCCTAAAACCTTTCTTCTGAAAGGTTACACATCCAGTCTACCCATCCCCATACATCAGATTCTTGCTGCTTTCCATAAGAAATCGAAGTGATTTAGTGTTTTTTTGTGATGTAATTGTTGTCATATGACCATGTTTATTTCTAAGTCATTCCTCAGACAACTTCTCTCTTGAATCTAGGTAATTAAACCTTTAAACTCTCTGAATTTTCCTTAATTTTTTTATGCCTATGTCGCCTTCAATTTTAAGGCTTTGAATTTGTTGTTGCTCTTTTTATGCCTGACTTTAATTTATCATTTTCTTAGATCTGAGATTCAAGTTATATTTGTTCTTATATTTTAGGTCGTTCTTCCCTCTTTCCAATAGATGATGGCTTGCTGGATGATGGTCATAATGATCAAGTTGGTGTTTTAAATTCACCCACATGTTACTCAGCTCATCAAAATGGAGAGCGAATAGAACGTTTCTCTCGAAAAGTTTTTGTTGGTGGTCTTCCTCCAGATATTGATGAAGGTAAAATGATGATTTGGCATATAAAAAAACAAACCTGAAATATAATGTGAATGGGGATATGGAGTTTTTTTTACCTCTAGAGATTTTCAGTTAAAATGGATATCCATCTCTGTTTAAATATTTTGTCACCTGTTGAAATATAAAGATAATTGAACAAATAACTTTTTTTAACTTTGTTTCTTTACTTTGTATCTTATGCATATTATTATTGTGAGCATTTTTTGTAAATAAGATTTTCATCGAGTTCATCTCCCACTTATGTTTTTAAATATAGAACATATTTGAATACATATCTTTTTTATGTATTTATTTTAAACTTTTTTATGACTGTAACATGCATGCATGCACACACATGCATGCACGCACGCACACACACACACAGTGAATTAAAGGTAACTAACCACAAAACTTTACCTGTAATGCATGACAGTTAAAAATTCTATTTCTTTAAGTATAAATGTGCTTTTAGAAACATAAGAAAAGAGGCTATAAAACCCAAGCAAATAATGGAAACAGTACATAAACAGGAAATTTAGGTTATACAAAGACTAATAAGCATATGTAAAAATTATCATGTGTAATAATAACAAAAGAAAAATAATTCAAGATTAAAAATACAGAAACTAATATTTGCAAAGCTGTGGGAAATCTGCCACTGTCATTCACAACTTACTAATAGAGAATATATTGCTACATTTTGGGAATTTTTTCAGTTGTGATTTAAATATCCACAAACTTATTCTATGTATTAATCAGTATAATAAAGTTTCCATGTGATAAAATAACCTAGAACATGTCATTGGATGTGACCTGTATGTCTTTCAGTGAAACTACCTGGCATGTATCAGACCCTAGTATATTTTAGAAATATTATAGCTTTACATGTCTTGTTTCAGCAGCCCTTTTTTCCTATAATATTTTACTTTATCAAGCAATAATGGATCTCTTTATGGATCTTTAACTTGATATAATGTTGGCATGTTTTTCAAGCCAGTGATATTTATGATTTGGTATACTATAAATCCATTAGTGTCCATATATTAGTATATAAAATTTTAGAAATCACACTGAATTGATTATTCTAGCCAATGTGCCACTTAAAAACTATTTTGATTAAAATAGCTATTAAGATTTATGTATCATTTTAGTGAGGATATTAGACATGTTTCTAGTATTTATATTCTAGTTTATCTTAGGCTATTTGGTACTTTAAAATTTTAAATCTTTAAAATAACGTATAAAATATAGGAATTTTTTAGAATGAATCATTAAAACTGATTCCTAATGCATATTATTGTACTTTTTTAAGATGAAATAACTGCTAGCTTCAGAAGATTTGGGCCTTTGGTAGTAGATTGGCCTCATAAAGCAGAAAGCAAGTCCTATTTTCCACCAAAAGGTAAGAGATTTTTTTGTTATTATTTGCTAGGGAATAAGTTATATGAGAGCTAATTTTCTCTGCCTAAAGTATCATTCTAAGTAACTTGGGTACAGACATATAATAAAGTTTCTCTAATCAGTGAAATTAAGAAATGTGTGAAGTGAGAATAAAATATAAACCTATGACTATTTTAAGTATTGCAAGATATACATAAGTGTTCCAGATAATAGCAGATAACAATAGAGCAGTATATACTCTGTTGATGAATTCAAATAGAGAAGAAAATGAATGGTCAGAAAAAAACTCAACTACATAAAGAGATAAAATGCAGAGGATGCCTAGTTGTGTTATTACATATTGCCAGGATACTACTGTGACGTCACCAGAGGACAAGAATCACAAATTGAGCACACATTCATTTGAGCAAAGCAATGCCACAGTCAGTGGGAACAGGAAGGATCACCTCACCCGCCCAGAGTGAGGAGGGGAGGCAATGGGAGAGAAGTGAACATGAATCCAGTCAGTCATATTGCTAATGGCACATTCTCTGAAGTGAATAAAAGAAAGGGGAGGTTGAAAGACTAAGACTTTACTTTGAATATTATTGAAATGTAATTTTAGAAATGAAAAAACACACTATTATTCTCATGGCTGAGTGGATTTTCAAGCCTGGAAAAAAGACTCCAGTAGATCTATTGAATTTGGCTCCAGGAAAGGAAACATGTTAAGAGTTATTGGCATACAAAAACTAGCTAAGGGATTCTGGTGATAAATTATATGGGCCGTCTCTACTTTTTATCATTGAGAATTATAGAACTTCCATTAGTGGTTTATGTAGTTCCTTAGAGAAATGGAATAATGTGGTGATTTTTTTTTAATACCTTTAGATCTTATACTTACAGAATCCTTTGAACCAGAGATTCTGGATCCCAGGCCTCCATGAAAGTCTAGTTAGAGATATGGACCTGTCTCCGTATACTCTAAATTTTCACATGATTTTGGAGCTAACTGGACCTGGAGGTCCTGAATCCTTGGTGTAGAGAGAAAATTAGCTCCATATTGATGTAGATGTTCATTTCTTAGCTTAGTTTTAATCTGTTGTTCAGTGTTATGATCTTGTCCTTTTATATAGTTTATTTTACTGAGTGTTCAATAAAAATGCCTGTTGGTTTCTAATGTTCCTGCCTAAATTACCATCATCCCTTGTCTGGACTATTTCAGGTGTATGACTAGTCTGTCCACATTTCTGGCTGTCTCCAGTTTTTCTCCCACAGCATAGCTAGAGTAATATCTGTGAAAACAATCTGATGGTGCTACTCCTTGCTTCCAGCTTAAAACCCATCAGTGGTTTCTCTTACTGTTAGGATAAAGGCAAAAATGCATTCTCCCTGCCAGCCCTCCCCATCCCGTTCCTTCTCCCAGTATTGCTTCTTGTTTCTTTCTAGCTCTGCAAACTGGCCTTGCTCTCTCCTGCCTCAGGACTTTTATGTTTGTTGTTCACTTGACCTGAAGGCTTTCCCTGCCTCTTCATCTGTATATCTCCTACTTTTCTCAGCTTAAATACCAGTTGCTGGTGGGAAACTGTTAAGGACCCACCTAATGAGGTCAGATCCTCCTATTGTAGGCCCTTCTAGAACTGTGCCCTTTCAGAGCACACCTCACAGTTGGAATATTACAGTTTTACAATTCTATAAATATGCTTTTATTTTATTAATGTCAGATTCTTCCATTAATCTCTCAGACTGTGTCTTTACTCATCTTTGTATTTTCAGTAATTCATGGGTTGATAGTTGCCTAATAAATGATATATACAACTATAAATACTGTAGGATAGTTTATCCTTTGACCTGAAGTAGGTGGGGGAAAGCTTCATTGAGAAATTTTGAACTAAATCTAAAAGATACTGTGCAATTTAGATAGATTAAAAAGTTGTTCAATTGAGTTCCAGGCAGGAGTTGAAATATAATTTTAGAAAGGTATTAGAATTAGTTTTTGTCAAGACAGATACACATTTTCTGCATGGGCAGAAATGTAAGAAAGGTAGGTTGGCACTAATTTCATGAAACAGAATAGTTGCTGTCTTTGTTGCTGTTGCATTGTTATTGTGGTTTTTGTGGTAGTTGTTAGTTTATTTTCTCAAACTGAAAACAAGAAAAAAAAAACAAAAAATATTAGCAGTGGCAAATCATACTATTTTGGTACATTATAGTTAATTGTACTCATTGCCAAAGACCAATGTTCCTAAACCTTGTGCTTTCAAGCATTTTTGTCATTGATGTAATTCATCATTTTCCATGGTTTGGAAAACACTGGTGTAGAAGCATTCAGTTGACAAAGCTACCTTGTAATTAAGTTAATGATTTGAGACATTGGATACTGAGCCACACTTATACATACCTGTCCTTTGCAGTGAATAAGATTCACCCTATGTAAACATTAGCTTGTGCTAATAAATTCTAAAGAACTATTAGATGGTATTTTTGGTACGAGTATTTTAATGTTTAATGGCTTGCCTTACCTAGATCATAATTTACCTGCCATGTTGCTTAATTAATTTTTGTGATACATTTTTTCCTTAATAATCACAAAAATTATTAAGCAGTATTAAAATATTAATATCAGAAATTAACATCATAAAAACATAACATTAAAAATATTGACTTTAAAATACTATTTTAGTAAATCAGTCTTATATCCCCTCAATTATTACAAAACAATTACAGCTCTCAAAACCTTAGCTTGGTGGGCTTCCCTGGTGGCGCAGTGGAAGAGAGTCTGCCTGCCGATGCAGGGGACACGGGTTCGTGCCTCGGTCCGGGAAGATCCCACATGCC